GCCTCACAGTCATCACTCTATGAATTTGGCTCTCCATATAATGCCATTGATGGGTATCATGACGGTAACTGGATCAAGGCGTCCTGCAGTCACACAAACAACGACGTGAATCCTTGGTGGCGACTGGTTCTGCCCACACACACAAAAGTCTTTTCTGTTAATGTAACCAACCGAGTTGATTACTGGGAACGACTGAATGGAGCTGAGATCCGCATCGGAGATTCTCTCGAAAACAACGGCAACAACAACCCCAGGTAGTGTACAGCCTGTTCATTACAATATTAAAAAGTCTTCAAACTGGAATTTAAATGAAAATCATTAATGCTACAGGAGGAAGAATAATTTCTCTTTGGTGATAAATATTTAAGTTATTTGGGATTAAAATGTTGAAGCTCTGATCATAACACCACATCTCCAATCTTTATGTTACAGCAGATTGTATGTTACAGTCTAACCTATACCGAAATTGATATTTGGGAGTTCTTTCTTTGCTCTGTGGGATTTCCACTGTGTTTTCTCATAGTGGAAATTGTTATTGTATAATTTAGCACTATACAACTATAAATTAATGACTTATATTGATGTTCTAAACAATCTCAATCCAAGAAGTAGGAACATTTCTCTACTGTGATTTCGCATCACCGTCCATAACAATAACTGTGTCAGGTCAGGCCAGTGCCCCCCCGATATAATGTAGGGGAAACACTGAATCAAGCAAGAAGACTCATGATACCATTTATTTATTAACTTGTAATTGCAATCGCAAATCGCGATATCATCCACCAAAATCGCACATTTTTATCAAATCGTGCAGCACTAATACAGATAGATAGATTACAAACCTTGAACTTCACTGCACTGCCCTATGATCTCTAGTGGTACGGCTAGGTTTCGTCTGTATCTGTAATACTTCAAAAAACGTGCACATACAGGGACAAAATGAATACAGAATACAGATAAAAGTTCACAATCAAAGTTATTGTTTTCCGAAATTGAATAATTTTTATTTATTGAACAATCTAAATATGAAAACCCGTCCACAAATGACCTAATAAAGCCACTACAAGTCAGAAATTCTCATTAATGAGTAGAAATCTGTAGTTAGTGGTTAATTGCGCCAAAAAAATATTGTGAAACATCCTGCATTCATCTGTGCTCTCAGAGTACTGAAGATGAAGAGAGGTGGAAAAAAAAATGGTATAAAAAGGTGGACGAGAACCCTTGGGTTACAGTTAAGGATCTGTCTAAAGTCACTGAGGTCACAATTTACATCTCAGCAATAAGAAAAAAATAGGACAAACTGGTTCTCAAGAAAGGGTGCTATGGAGGATTCTTCACTGTGATTCTGTGACATGAACTAAAGAGAGACATTCATGAGAGACAATCCTGAAATATCAATACTTATAATGATGCCCTGATAAAAACATCTGCCACCAACAGCCTACAAACTAAACATGCAGGACTACAAATCCAGTGTAACCCTCAGTGTCTATTACAAGTCAAATGAAGCCCAGTTCCAAACCAAAGAATACTTGTGAATACTTGTGTCAGTCTACAACGTTCTGGAAACCTGCCAGTTTACACCAATGCAACCTGATGAGACAGTGTATCATTTCCATAGCAATATCTGTAAATGCTTTCTAATTTCAAGCTTGTCGGGGATATTTTGTAGCTAAATATAATTTAAAGTTCCTTAAATCTGAATGAGGAAAGAAAAATACTTGGTTGCATCTCTAACAGTAATGAAACAGCATAAACATTTTTTTTTTTTTCAAATCTGATCTTCAGAAGTACGCCACTATAATTTAAATCACCAGCGGCAATTACCGTGATCAGTCAGTGAGTGTTTGTGTGTGTGTCAGTGACATACATCGAGCAGCATCAGGAACCCACTGTTTGACACCAACACACTGTGAGGATGAGACCTGTATGTAAAGCCTCGTTTCCACCAAGCAGTTCAGTTCAGTTCAGTTCAGTTCAGTTCAGTACGCTTTTTTTCTGTTTCCACTGTAAAAAGTTGTGGATTGTACCAACAGAACCATTCCGTACCGTCCCCATGTTTGGTCCCCCCTCTGTTGGGGTACCTAGCACACAGATCTGGTACTAAAAGGTGGAGCTGTGAACACTGCAGTCTGATTGGTCAGTAGAGGATGGTCAGGGCTGAGTTGTGTCTGGTTTTGAGGAATCTTTGTTCTGAACTGAGATTTAGACACGTGGTGAAAATGATCTTTTCCTTCAGCCAGGCTTTGCTGAGTTAATTAAGACATTTCTTCTTCTTCTACCAGGTGTGCCGTGATCACAAGCATCCCACCAGGTGCTACTCGTGGATTCGACTGTAATGGGCTGGAAGGCCGCTATGTTAACATATTTATCCCTGGAAGAGCGGAGTACCTCTCTCTGTGTGAGGTGGAGGTCTATGGCTCTTTCCTGGATTCACTTTAAAAGAGCAAGAATGAAGCCTTCTTGTGATTCGAGATTAATGTTTATAACACATGGTCCCTGTTAAATAAAACTATTAAAAAAAAAAAAAAAAAAAGCCAGTGTTGTTATATGTACTCAGACAAACCAAAATAATATATTTAGCTTTAATTTGATTGCTGCATTGACTGCATGATAAATAACCAATCACATTGTGTGCAACATGGAGCTAAGTTTGTCCTAGACAATAGCAATATGGCATTAGTCAGATAAACTGGCTCTTACATGATCTCTGGTAAATCAGTTTGAATCATGTTTGAATTAAGCTTACTATAATAAAAACATTATCACAGCAGCCTACGTGTGTTTCATAATTGATCTGTTTTCTAATGCTGTTTTAAACTGCTCTTTAATGCTGAACTTGTGATTGTACTGTCACTGCCTGCTGCTGTGTCTGTGTCTCTGAAATAGAATTAAATCATTAAAAGAGCCTTACATGTTGGTCTGGATCAAAACACACTTGATTAAACTTAAACACAAATAAAGAATGTGGAGTTACAGAAGAATCATGTTTTCAGTTTTTAACATGTGTCTTTATTTGGGCTGTACAACGGAGTATTAGGGCCTCATTGAAGAAAAAGAAAATCGGAGATTACGAGAATAAAGTCGTAGTTTTTAAGGAAATAACCAACAACAGACAGAATGGGTTAGAGGATGAACCTGCTTGTGGCAGCTGCTCTTTGTCTCAGGTGTGTTGCCTCGACACACACATTTGGAGGCAGGGCCGGAGTGGGACTCATTTTCAGCCATGGAGTTTCATGCCTCAGACTGGCCCACTTTAGATCACGACCTATTATAACCTACATGTTAAGTCTACAATAGAGCACTGTTGTCTAAAGCCTTGTAATTCAGTGTATTTTTCTAAAATATTTCCAATTCAGTGCAAGTAAGGGTTGCTTCACAATGAATTCAAATAAAAACACCTCACCAATTCAGCTGCTGCAGAGACTTCACCTTCATCCGTGCTCTTTATTAATGAAGAGGCGTGTCGGTAAACGACTCCAAAATTCATCGCCGGAGATGCGCGCGTAATCGGAGCGCAGCTCGCACAGCCACGTGGAGCCGGTGTCTCCACCTTTTCTCATAATATCACAACTTTATTCTCGTAATATTATGACTTTTTCTTGGGACGACTTTATTCTTGTATTATTACAAGAGTTTTTTCTCGGCTGCACAGATAGGAAACAAAAGATTACTTTTAATCAATAGGTTTTCTACAACTACAAATAATTTCTACACATTTATAAACTGTCATTTCTCTAGCAGTGTTTGACAGGTTTAAGGGCTGATTTACAAACACGGGAGCTAACTGCTAACAGCCACCGCTGCAACTAACTCCACAAATCCATTCAGCAGCTCCGCCATCCAGTCAGACACACGGCTGATTATGGTTTTTGCTGGCTAGCCAAACATCCTGGCACAGACTATTTACTAGAGTTTACCAGCCTGTCGCTCATGTGGCATTTGAAGATAATTACAAGTACGTCCTTTCTTGGCTCTCAATGTCTGATAGTTGGCCACGAACATTTTCTTCATGTCTTGTCAACAAAAAGGCAACACAGATTTCGTCTTAGTTTTTATTATCAACACCTATTTTTAGCTCGACGTCCCTAGTTTTTGTCACAAAAAACGATGAAAACGAATGAAAACTATCAGTATAATGAAATATATGTTTTAATGTTGTGTTAATGTTCGTATTGCCATTATTGTGTACTGTTCAAATATCTGGATACATTTTATTTTGATGCTTTGGCAACTTTTATGCCAGTAAAGTCTGAACTGAGCTGATACTGTTGGATCAGAACACTTGCCTCTCTGTGAGATGTGTGTGTATTAAATGACCTTTGGGGAATATTTATCTATCACGCCTGGAAGATGCTACCAAGAGTGAAGAATCAGGAATCAGGGTAAGCATTTGTTTCCACATTTCTCTCGCTTTATTTATTTCATCTGTTCATTATCATTATAAATTATTTGTCTTCTGTTTTACTCACCAGGGCTTATATTCATCAAACCATCAAGAATTACATTTAAAATCTCAAAAGAGCCAACTTTGGGATAAAAAACTATTGCTAACACTTTTTTAAAAAGTCCATCAGTTGTTTTCTTCCACTGTACTTACAGTAGGAAGTATTTTATTGGTGCCTGATTCAAAACAAATAATTACACTCATCCTTGACTCTATTATTAATGCAGCGCACCGTCATTTCAAACTCAAAACTTTATAATTTTGGTTGAGATAATCCCAAATGTAGCTCCTGACATCTGGTGGCGCTTTTAACATTACTACAGTGACATTCCAGCTGGGACATGAACAGCCACAGTGACTGAAATAAAAGTTTTAATAAAAATAGAACAAGAATAAATCGTTGTCATCACACAAGTCGTGAAAGACGACCAGGGGTGATTGGTCATGGACCATCGTGTAGTCTGTCACGGCACGATTTTATGACTCGACAATTGCCTTATCTGACATAGTGACCCTTGGAAGAGAGAAAATTGTTCTGTAGTGTGAAGCAAGCATTAACCGGCTGGTAGGGGCCACAACTGATCAACAACTGCCTTAGTTTGAATATTTCTGTTACGTGGCAGTCAGGTTAGTGTTAGCAGATTCTTTAGTCATCATTTTCACTTTGAAGTTGACATTTTACATCGCTGGTGTTTAGGAATTGTTCCTGTCCAGATTTGCACACCAAGGTAAGACAAATGTGGTTTTTATTCATTCAATGAAACATTACAGCAGTGATTGTTCAAAACATTCAATAATATCAGCCAACTGCTGAAATCCCTTTGTCTGTCACTTATTGCGGTGATACACTGGGCAACTTTTTGATAAGCATCATGACAGGGCAAAGTGCTTACCAACAGGAATTAATGTACACTGAATGCCTTTATAAAGTTTGCTAAAAATACAAGAAGTCCTCCAATCCATACAACCACGTGAGTCATATCTTAATACATCTGAATATGACCCACAGGTGTGTGTCCTAAATTAGCGCACCTACAGATGGACGACAGAGTAGCTTATATATGACTATTTACGTTCACAGTTTTAAACATGTGGGTAACATGTGAAATGGTTGCAGTTGCACCAAAACTACGTGGTTGGGTTTAGAAAAAACATCATGGTTAAAATTATTAGGTTTGTTACAAAGGCAACGTCACATATCTCATGTGACACATGTCGTACATCTATATACTACATTACATTGTCAAAATAAGTATGTTGACTTTTGGTAAACATCAATCTGCTGGATGAAAGTCTGGTGCTTGTTTGACCCTTCCACCCCCCTTCCCTCCCACCCTAGTCACTGCCTCACAAAAACATAAATGTGGGTCAAAATGGCTGCTTGTAAAAAATCTTCGTGTGCTCGTCTTTTGGAAGAGGACATTCTCAGTCACATGACAAAAGGTGTTGTGTTCAGCTATTGCTATCATCACTATCAGTACCACCACTACCCTGACTGTCTTGGGAACATAAAAGGCACTGATTTACAGACTGACCTAATTAATACAGAGTTGCTCTTTGATTCTGACACATTTAACACCTGCTGGCAAATTTTCGTTTAAAGGTTTCACAACAGAAACAAAGAAGACAAAGTATCACACTGTGTACTTCACAACACAGCATAACAGACATTGCACATAATCACAAAGAGTATACATTTATATTACAAAATCATTGTGTGTTTCTTACATGAAATTTGGGGAATATTTCACGGTGTGTTCATACACGACTCCTGGAATCTAGATCACCTGAGGAGGAGTGCCTGGGAGTAGACTCCATGATGCGATTTGATTGGATAGTGATCTTTATAAATGATCGACTGCAAGGGAAAAATTTCACACACATTGGTTGGTTTTTATCTCCAGACAAAGGATTTCAGTCTGTCTTCTAACCAGAAATTAGGGTGAGCATTTCATATTGCATTTCTTTTATTTTGGCCATGTTTTCATGGTTTGTTTCTCAGCAGGATTACAGGCCATGTTTTCATGGTTTGTTTCTCAGCAGGATTACAGAAAAACTTCTGGCCTAATTTTCACGATTCTTGTCAGATGGGTGAGTCATGGGCCAATGAAGAACTCATTAAATTGTGAAGTGCAGCGTCATGGGGCGGATACACAAATTATTTTCCACTTTTGTTTGTACTGCAAGATGGCATTTGTGTGCACTTTGTATAAATATATGCATATATAGTTTTTACTGTACCTTCAAGAGTAACACTCAACAAACACTTATAAGAGCCAACTTTGGAGTAAAAAAAAATGTCGGTAACACTTTAAAAGACATCAATGAGTGAGCGTCACAGCAGATGCGTGTGCATCATGATGACAGAAAAACAATTGAAACCACAGAGAAACAGTCGAGATACCCGGAATAAAAATGTCTTCTTGTGCAGTTGTACGTCACAAAAGGAATACAAAAAAGATAAATTCATTTTTTTAGAGAACAATCACTAAGGACGCCGACTTGTAGACTTTTACGGATACTAACATTTGATGTAAGCAAAATAATCTACATAATATTCACATGTACAATTCACAGAGCCCTACAGTTACAGCATGAAAAAATATTTAGACATATATTTACATCCCCCTAGTGGCACCAGTATTTACATTGGTCTAAAGTGCATTAAATGATGAAAAGAAGTTAATACTAACTGAGCCATGACGTGCAGTTTGTCATCAGTATACAGCTGTTTGACTTGTTTGATATTGTTGACTGTATGTTGGAGCACATAAGTGCTCAGACCTCTCCATGGCTGCTCAAGCCCTGAAGCGCACATGGAATCAGTGCCTGTGGCACTGAGCTGGTTTTAGGAGGAGCTTTAGGAAGATCAAATTGTGTGATTGAAATTAATCAGTGGATAGTTACGTGGCTGGATTATTTGGAAGAGAGTAGGCCAACGTCAAACTGTTCAGCTGAATAGTTTTTTATCCTTGTATTGTGTAGGTCTACAAAGAGCTAAAATGTGGCCTGCTCATAAATGACGGGGCGCCAAATAAAATCATTTTTCTGTGGGACTTTATTCCCTGACTTTATTGCTTCATAGTATTCAAACTATAAAAAACTAGCAAAGCAGATAATCCAAAATGTTTTTAAAGGGACAACTATTGTGGGGAGAGACTGACTGAAAACAGGTCTGTGATGACATGAATGCCACTCAACAGCCTTGCAGTAAAATCAGCTGTTCCTGGGACAAAGTGACTTTCTTTATTGGCAGAAAAATGTGGGGATAATTGCTCTTTGAGAAAATTATATCTGATGTACAGTGAAAAATGAGATTGAAAGTTTGTTGTTTGATGTTGCAAGTTTTGAGCGAGCTTCAAGAATGTCCATCTGAGCTGTTGCCCGTGACTTGAATGTTCATTTCACCACCATAAGCCATCTCCAATGTTTCTGAGAATCTGGCAAAATGTGCTTAGAATTATGCATTTGCAGCTTTACTTCTATTCACAACTCTTTCTCTTGTCTGTCATAAACAGAATAATGAAGCACAGTGTGGTTTTTCTTTTGCTGCTCCTCTCGGGGATGTGCTCAGCTTGCCTTTCTGGTAAGTAAAATGTAAGAATATGCGTATTTATGTATTTACTATAAAACATTACCAGAGATAGTTCCCTGATTGCATTTACAAAACTGATGAAAGAATAAGGTCAGGGCTCTCTCCCCAAACCTTTGTCCCACTTAGCTTCTTTACCCCAAACGGGGCTGGGTCCATGTCATTGGTCCGACAGCCCATTGGTCCGACATCCCATTAGTCCGACGGTCCGTGGGGCTGAACGGCTCCCGGCGGGCGTATTTCTACCTTGATGGTGCGCCGCGACCGGCTCTGGGTCAGCTGGGAAAGGCTTGAGGCGAAGCAGGCTCACAGCTTATATGTTTGTCACTTTCTTTTTCATTTTAACCCACACCATGATCTTTTCCTAACCCTAACCAAGTGGTTTTTGTGCCTAAACCTAACCAGACCTTAACCACAGGGCATCATGATGATTTCAGAACAGACTTCGGAACAATGGGTTTAATATGGTCGGAACAATGGGCTGTCGGACCAATGGGCAGTTCCCAACGGGGCTATCACAAAGGTGTGGGATTTTTCCGGTGGGCCAGTATTGTGAAGGATCTTGGTGTGACCGACTCAGAAAGTGGAAAAGGCCCTGACACACCAAGTTGATGGTCGGTCAAAGTTGGGCCACTGGTGAGTGTCGTCGGTGCAATGTGTCCTGCACCGTTGCCCCTCGTTGGTCTGCTTTTTTTTTTTTTTTGGGCTCATTCAGCATGTTGAATCTGTATCAGCACAGAGGAGCCCATCGGCGAAAGGAATACTCTGATTGGCAGTTCAGCTCAGCACACAAGAAGAGAAACAGAAGTTAAAGTCAAGAGAGAGTGAGACAAAAACAAAGTTGTTACATAAGGTAATATTATTTTTCTTTAGCCATTGAGCTCTTTAGCAGAAACATTTGGTGATGGTTTGTGTTACTGTTCACTGACACATGGTAGATATGCTTTGTTCTTTCAACACTGGATTGTATTGTTGATGTGCTAACTAACGTCCAGACGTCAAGACAAGTCTTCTGGTTTCCATTTTTGAATAAGGATTACAGACGAACACTGTGTGCTGGTGTGGAGAGTTATTTCCTGTCAGTCAGGTGCAGAACGTACGTGCTGGCCAACTGTCAGCTGTGTGTCCATGTGCAACTTTTTTTGCCGAGACACAGCAACGTCAGACAATGCAGCAGGGGGCCTCCGTCGCCGAAAGTTCTTTGAATTTGGTTTGCTGTGTCTGGTCCTTAAAGCTGTGCCTCACCTCTGATTGAGGTTAGAGGCTCAAGGCTACATTAGCATGCATTAGCCAACGTTAAGCTGGGAGCTAAAAAATGTGTGTATTTCTTTCACAGGAAATGTGGCCTTGCGTGGCAAAGCAACTCAATCAACCCGCTACAACGGACAGCAGATTGGTTTTGCGGCTGCCTACAATGCCATTGATGGAAACCGTGATACCAATTATCTCCATGGATCATGTACCGCGACTGCACAACAGACTAACCCCTGGTGGAGAGTGGACCTGCTGGAGTCCTACATCGTCACCTCCGTTGTCATCACCAACAGAGGAGACTGCTGTGCAGAAAGAATCCACGGGGCAAAGATTCACATCGGCAACTCTTTAGAAGGCAATGGTGCCTCTAACTCACTGTGAGTGCATGTTGATTATTCATTAACATATTTATAGAGGATATATATGAAAAAATGCTAGCTAGAGCTACTATTTCGTACCTTTGTTTCTTATAGGGAAATTTAACTGCTTATTTTCATATCTGCTCCGTTCATTATTCATCACCACGTTTTACCTTCAACCTCAGTCCAGTCAGCCCAGTCACAACAGACCTGTTTCTTTAAGTAGGACACTTCTGTCTGCATCACTGAGAAACTCCAAAATAGATACTGAACATCATTATTAAGCTGCTTTCTCTCTTTTTGCTGCTTATTCAGGGTTGGTACCATTCCTGCAATTGCTCCAGGGGAGACATACACTGTGACTGTCAGCGGTCGTGTGGAGGGACGTTACGTGACTGTGTATCTGCCTGGTTCAAACAAGATTCTTACGCTCTGTGAAGTGGAGGTTTATGGGTACCGTGCCCCAACTGGTGAGAGTTTGAGCAATACCGGTGTTGTATCTCTGTGTTATATAGGTACTTATCAGTGGCTTTATAACACGGAGATCAGAGGTCCTCCTGCCTGCAGGTCCCCAAGACCTGCAGCACACTTTAGTGATGCACAGAACTTCCAAAATTACTCAGAGTAGAATATTATTGTCAGACAGAAAGTATAAAGAAGAAATACAGAGAAGCCGAAGTCTTGCACTATACTGCAATGCCCCATGATCTCTGGTGGTACGGCTAGGTTTAGTCTATTTGAGCCAAGGTTTGTAAAACATCCTGTCTGCACCATTTTCAATAGCAGAGAGTTGTCATTGTGTCACCTAAAAAAGATTAAGTAATACAAAAAGTTCTCAGTCGTGAAAATAGTACTGGACATCCCTAGAGTCAGGACCTGCCAGAGTCAGATTATAAATGGTCTGCATTCATCTAAAATTATACGCACTAAAAACAAACAAAACAAAACAGAAAAGTTGTATTTGTGCTGATATTTTATTGTTTTTGCAGGAGAAAACCTGGCAATACAAGGAAAAGCCTCACAGTCATCACTCTTTGAATTTGGCTCTCCATATAATGCTATTGATGGGTATCATGACGGTAACTGGGTGAGGGCGACCTGCAGTCACACAAAGAATGACATGAATCCTTGGTGGCGACTGGTTCTGCCTTTACTCACAAAAGTTTTTTCTGTTAATGTAACCAACCGAGTTGATTACTGGGAACGACTGAATGGAGCTGAGATCCGCATCGGAGATTCTCTCGAAAACAACGGCAACAACAACCCCAGGTAGTGTACAGCCTGTTCATTACAATATTAAAAAGTCTTTAAACTGGAATTTAATGGAAATCATTTATGCTACAGGAGGAAGAATAATTTCAGTTTCTCTTTGGTGCTAGATACTTCAGTTATTTGGGATTAAAATGTTGAAGCCCTGATCATAACACCACATCTCCAATCTCCAGATTTTATGTTACAGTCTAACCTATATTGACATTGGCCGCGTTTCCCAGATCCAGATGAGAAGATCTTAGCACTAAGATCTTCGTAAGAACGCTCTTAAGCCCCCCTTGAAAGAAAAACGCGTTTCCCAGATTCGCACTTTTGTGACCCACGAGCTGACCCACTCTCAACAGTCTTCTTAGCGACCAAACGCTCACAAATCCAGTCGCGTCAGAAAAATTAATATTACACTAAGCAAAGAGACGTTATAACAGTGCGCACCGTATATATTATGATCTATTTTATACTTCAGATTTATATTGCTTAGCATTAATTGGTGACAGAAAAGAATGAATGTCATTCTGCAGGGAAACGCGTGTCCTTACTGTGCATTTTGAATCTTGAATCTATATGTTTTATGAAGGCCGTGTGTGCGCTCAAAGCTGTGGCACAAGTTACGCACCGAAATCTGGCAGAAGAAAAATAATAAGACGAAACATAAGTATGAGGAATAACAAGTGTGTTCCTATATGTGCTGTGCACATCAGGCACAAATAAAATGAATCATCATGACTATCATTTATCATAATTTGTGATGAGGCCAACGATGGCAGAGTCGTCAGAGAACTTCTGCAGATGACATGTGGGGGTGTCGTATGAAAAGTCTGCAGTGTAGAGGGTGAAGAGGAATGGTGCCAGCACCGTCCCCTGCGGGGCCCCCGTACTGCAGACAACCAAGTCCGATACACAATCCTAGGTCTTGACATACTGCGGCTGCTCCGTGAGGTAGTCCAGGATCCAGGATGTGAGGTGATTAGTCACCCCTATGTGCTCCAGTTTGTCCCTCAGAAGTGCAGGCTGTATGGTGTTGAAAGCGCTGGAGAAGTCAAAGATTGTCAAAGAACATGATTCTCTCAGAGCTTCTGGACTTCTCCAGGTGAGAAAGAGCTCTATGCAGGAGGAAGATGATGGTGTCGTCCACCTCAGTGCCAGGCTGGTAGGCAAACTGCAGGGGGTCCATTGAAGGGCCTACTGCGGGGCGGAGACGAAACAGGACCAGGCATCCCAGAGTCTTCATGAGGTGCGATGTTAATGCCACCGGTCTGAAGCTGCTGAAGTCCTTACAAGTCAGAATTTCCCATTAATGAGTAAAAATCTGTAGTAAGTGGTTAACTGTGCCAAAAAAATATTGCTTACTGATATTCACCTCTCTACAAGCTGATGTGAAACATGTCGCATTCTAAGGCTGGGCGACATGGACAAAAATTAATATCTCGGTATTTTCAGGCTGAATGGCAAAACACGATATACAGTACAGGCCAAAAGTTTGGACACACCTTCTCATTCAATGCGTTTTCTTTATTTTCATGACTATTTACATTGTAGATTCTCACTGAAGGCATCAAAACTATGAATGAACACATGTGGAGTTATGTACTTAACAAAAAAAGGTGAAATAACTGAAAACATGTTTTATATTCTAGTTTCTTCAAAATAGCCACCCTTTGCTCTGATTACTGCTTTGCACACTCTTGGCATTCTCTCCATGAGCTTCAAGAGGTAGTCACCTGAAATGGTTTCCACTTCACAGGTGTGCCTTATCAGGGTTAATTAGTGGAATTTCTTGCTTTATCAATGGGGTTGGGACCATCAGTTGTGTTGTGCAGAAGTCAGGTTAATACACAGCCGACAGCCCTATTGGACAACTGTTAAAATTCATATTATGGCAAGAACCAATCAGCTAACTAAAGAAAAACGAGTGGCCATCATTACTTTAAGAAATGAAGGTCAGTCAGTCCGGAAAATTGCAAAAACTTTAAATGTGTCCCCAAGTGGAGTCGCAAAAACCATCAAGCGCTACAACGAAACTGGCACACATGAGGACCGACCCAGGAAAGGAAGACCAAGAGTCACCTCTGCTTCTGAGGATAAGTTCATCCGAGTCACCAGCCTCAGAAATCGCAAGTTAACAGCAGCTCAGATCAGAGACCAGATGAATGCCACACAGAGTTCTAGCAGCAGACCCATCTCTAGAACAACTGTTAAGAGGAGACTGCGCCAATCAGGCCTTCATGGTCAAATAGCTGCTAGGAAACCACTGCTAAGGAGAGGCAACAAGCAGAAGAGATTTGTTTGGGCCAAGAAACACAAGGAATGGACATTAGACCAGTGGAAATCTGTGCTTTGGTCTGATGAGTCCAAATTTGAGATCTTTGGTTCCAACCGCCGTGTCTTTGTGAGACGCAGAAAAGGTGAACGGATGGATTCCACATGCCTGGTTCCCACTGTGAAGCATGGAGGAGGAGGTGTGATGGTGTGGGGGTGTTTTGCTGGTGACACTGTTGGGGATTTATTCAAAATTGAAGGCACACTGAACCAGCATGGCTACCACAGCATCCTGCAGCGACATGCCATCCCATCCGGTTTGCGTTTAGTTGGACGATCATTTATTTTTCAACAGGACAATGACCCCAAACACACCTCCAGGCTGTGTAAGGGCTATTTGACCAAGAAGGAGAGTGATGGAGTGCTGCGGCAGATGACCTGGCCTCCACAGTCACCGGACCTGAACCCAATCGAGATGGTTTGGGGTGAGCTGGACCGCAGAGTGAAGGCAAAGGGGCCAACAAGTGCTAAACACCTCTGGGAACTCCTTCAAGACTGTTGGAAAACCATTTCAGGTGACTACCTCTTGAAGCTCATGGAGAGAATGCCAAGAGTGTGCAAAGCAGTAATCAGAGCAAAGGGTGGCTATTTTGAAGAAACTAGAATATAAAACATGTTTTCAGTTATTTCTCCTTTTTTGTTAAGTACATAACTCCACATGTGTTCATTCATAGTTTTGATGCCTTCAGTATGAATCTACAATGTAAATAGTCATGAAAATAAAGAAAACACATTGAATGAGAAGGTGTGTCCAAATTTTTGGCCTGTACTGTATATCCCGGTATTTTCTACGAAGTGGGCTACATGCCCAGTTGCAAACTGAACCACAGCTGAAGTCCCCTGTTATTTTTGCTGCATGTGGCAGGTAAAAGAAGAAGTTTACCGGTTGGAGATGAGCTGTTTGCAGAGGTGCAGTGAGAGCCTTTTATCTGCAGCTCTTCATTATCATCTCACTGTGGCTGTTTCGGCTTTTAATCTTACTCCATGCTGTATTATTAGAGTTGTCTTTTTTTGAAGAAAAGCCGCTTATAAAGTTCCAGTAATTCAGTAATGAACATATTTTAATTCCTACTGAGTCTTAAAAATAAAAGTCCCACATTATTTTGTTATGGAAAAACATTTATTGTGAAGCAGCAAAATAAGGAAATGTTAAGTTTTTCCATTTCCACTGTGAAAAGTTTTGGATGGTACCAAAGGAACCGTTCCGTACCGTCCCCATGTTTGGTCCCCCCTCTGTTGGGGTACCTAACACACAGATCTGGTACTAAAAGGTGGAGCTGTGAACACTGCAGTCTGATTGGTCAGTAGAGGACGGTCACTCTGCTCAGGGCTGAGTTGTGTCTGGTTTTGAGGCTCATGTAACCACTGTTCATACTGTGGAGAGTTTTATTAGTAAACTGTAACTATAAAATGAAAGGATGTTTTGCTGCCTCTCACAGCAGCTGGAGTCTG